ATCTAGCTCTCACGTTGGCTAGAGTCTTTCTTTTGTATTTAGATTTGTCTATATTTTATATAATTTTCATAAYATTCTGCTAGAGATGGGAATGCGTTGTTACATGCCGAGAGCTTGACAGGGCGTGTGTGTATGTGTATGCAGAAAGGGAGTGAAGAATTATTGGACTAGCAGTTCAACGAAAAGTCCAGAAGATATTATAAATTTATTGGCTCGCTATGAACAGAGAGAGAGAAAGGGCTATGTCCAGCTATGCCGGGGAGTGCTATAAGAATAATGCTATAAGAAAATAATTTCACTGCGACGTGCAAATAACAGTATCAAATATCGGTGTGACGTCGTGTTGATTACTATCGTTGTACTGTCGTGATTTACTAGCTGAGTGCGTTAGTATTTTCATAACAAAGTTTGCATTATCACTAGGAGAGACAAGTCAAGCACAGGGCTGCATTGATTTCGATAATCGATAGAAGTTTGACAGAGGGAATTCAATTAAGACTCGTAGCGAGTGAGTAGTGCAGCCTCTCTCTCTCTCTCAGTTTTAATGGAAGGCGAGAAGAGTATTAATGCTCTCTCTCTCTCTCTCGATCAAATCAGCATTTACTCTCAATACTCTCTCTCTCTCTCTCTCTCTCTCTCTCTCAACTTTCGTCCATAGCTAACAAAAAAACAAACTAAGCGAGCAGCAATTCACAAGTCGAAGGCCTCTACACAAGGTGCTCGATCAGCTGCCGATTTTTTTGCATTTGTGTGTGTGTATACGGCCATGTATGTTAATATGAAAACAAGTAAGAATAAAAAAGCATTAGTGGATTATCTGAGAACACGCTGTGTTGATGCCCCATCGAGGGAATCGCCGCTGTGTCTTTGACAAGGAAATTCCATTAAAAATGAAAGTTTGAAATTTCAGAGAGCAGCAGCTAGTTGTAACAGCAGCAGCAGCAGCAGCAGCAGCAGCGGCAGTAAATCAACAACAACTGCAAAATAAACCACAAGCAACCAGCTAAAGACAACAGCAACAAATGAGCAACAATAGCAACAATAATAAAAACAACAATAACAACAGCAACAGCGAAACACAAAAAATAATATAGCAACAGCGTGCCAGTTATTGTTATTGTTAGTGCTTGTGTTGGTGGGATTGCTGGTTGTTGTTGTTGCCGGCACTACTCCTGCTACTCCTGCTGCTGCTGCCGCTACTCCTGCTGCTGCTGCTAGTACTCCTGCTGTTGCTGGTGTTTTTATAGCTGCTTACAGTTAAAACGGCCAACAGACTTACAACACAGATAGCAAAGTTGCCAGCTCGGCCAACGTGCAAAACACAAACAGAAGCTGCCCGTCTTGTGATAAATGACCACTCCATAAATTTTTATTTCTACTCAACTCAATCTCAAGCTCAATCTCTTGCTGCTGATGCTGCTGCTGCTGCTCCTGCTGCTGCTGCTTTTGTTCCTACTCCTGCTCCTGCTGTTGCAGGTGCTGCCCCTGGTCAGTTTTATGGGCACTGCTGTTGCCGCGAAAAGCACTCTTCGTTTTGGGCCATGATTGCGCATCGAATCCACAGTCCACTGTCCACCGTCCGGCTATCCAGAGAGCAGGAGTCCGCCTTAAGCTCCAGCAAAATTGTTTGTCTGGCATTCTGATGGGCAGGCAGCAGCCAGTGGGATTTCCATTCAGCACGAGCTGCTGGCAACGCATGCAAATTGATTGCACTGCCAGGTGAGCGGCTGACAGTGACAATGATGAGCATCAGTAGCAGTTGCTGGGCGCTGTTGGCGCCTCCACCAGATAAGCAGACGCTACAAATAAATTAAGGCATTGTCAGCAAAGCCGGCAAAATTGTCATCGACATGCGCATTATCATTTAGCCCAATAGCTGCATCTCTCTTCACGTCAGCTCTTAACTTGGCCAACGACTTGGCACATTTATCAATTTTGATTTGCCATTAACTGTATAGCAAGGGGCAGTTTTTCCAGCTGGCTTGGGCTACTTATGGCTGGCATGTGGAATATAGCCAAGGAAAACAATGTCTTCAATAGTCACAATGAAATTACTCCAAGAATAAATCTGCGTATGCCTATATTAAAGTGTAAAGTCTGACTAGGAACTCTTCCCCCACATTCCTTAGCATACAGTGTCTTCAAGAAGTATTTGCAAAATCAAACCAAAATTATACAGTAAAAGTCTTATGGCACAAAGATGCGACACCTTAAAAGCATAGCCAAAAATTTTAATAACCGCCGTGCCGGGGTCTATTGCAAATTATATAAAAAGGTTGTCATGGAGATGGACATGTTTTAATATAAGACATGAAAGTCTAATTGAAATGCTAAGTATTAAATTAAAATAGACATCAC